AAATGGTACCGATCTATAGTAAATTTAATATATGGGTTGTGACTTACTTATATGTTTTTATAGTAAATTTAAGTATCGAACTAGTATCGAAGTAGTATCATTAGGAGCCCTAGCTTACACTTCCCTAAGCAAGAGTATTTCTTTTAGATATTGAACTTCAATAATTAGAAAAGTCTCATGTGGTATCAGTACAACTCAAACTTGACCTGCTTGAGACTTCATCTTGCATAGAAAAAGAGAAGTGGGAAGGGGAGAGTAGGAAAGAGTTTTTTTTTTACTTATAAAAAATTATTTATTAGTAATCAAATAATTAAATTAAGTAAAAACTTATTAATATTAAATATTAAAAAAATCAATTACGTATATCTTATTTAAATAGACAAATCTTTTATTAATACAAATTCTTATAAAAATGTTTGTGTTTAATGTTATAAAGATAAATTTTATAATCTACTTGCATACAGGCAACAATTAAAAATAAATAAATAATAATTATAATTTGGAATTATATATAAACATGATTTGTGTTATTTGATTTATACCTTGTTTCATATAAATGAAACTAAGTACAGAATTTTATTTTGGATACTATTTATCCAATAATTTAACTACAGAAAAAAAATTTTACAAGGCATGCCAATTTACAAGTATAAACTTGTAAATAAAATCAAGACTAAGCAATTATAAAGTGATCATCACAATTGCCAGACCTTAGTCCAATTGAAAATGTATGAATAAAGATTAAGGTCTGGATTAATAAAAATCAAAAATCACATAACAAATCAGATTTGGAAGAATCATTACTGTGGCATGACATAATTTTGCATTAACTGGGTAAATGAAATATAAAGTTGGTAAATAGTTGTATTAAATAGAAAAAATTAAATTTATCACGTCAATATTTAATTTTGTACGACCTGTCTGTACGTATTTACATAAGTTATTTATAAATTCGATAAAAAATTAATGTTCTTATAAAAATTATAGGGCTGTTATTATAAAATAGAAAATATGTAGGATACAACAGATTTGTCTATGTGATGTGTCTCTATATATATTTATTTATTTACTGAACATCAGTTTTCATATTACAGTACACTAGAAATTATAATGGTGAAAAATAGGATACGTATTTTTTTTTGTTAAAATTTCCGATCATAGATTTTCATTTGACTTCAAGCGCATTCTCTCCTCTTCTTCATCCTCAACATCGACATATCTTTCAGTTTGATTTTTTCGGATTCGGGAATTGTGAATACCATCATCCTCGTCCTCGCTATCACCAAAATGATCAACTTCTTCCGATGGGGTTTCTATAACGAACTCTTCCCTGGTAGTTTCGTGAGAAACACATTAATTGCGATAAAAACAATAATCGGAAAAACAACGACACTATTAATCAGTCTTACATCTCATCACTTCCATTCTCCACAACAGATTTCATTTGTTGATTTTTATTCTTTATAAATCTTCTCAATCTTCCTCGGCAAACAAAGAGTCCCAAACAAAGAGCACCACAAATAACGATTATTAGTGTGGCCGTGCCTCTGTATAGTCAAGATTAAAATCATTTATAGATCTAACAATTATATAATCCAAAAAACCATGGCAGTGCTTGATCTTACGCGTTATAATATCGGTCCCAAGCTTCACTATCTTCATCCGACTTATTGTTATTACTAGAATCAGGTTGTGCAGGTTGTGTGGTGACCGTGTTATCGGACTGCGAAACAAAATTTTCAATATTACGAAAAAGCGAAAATTCAATCACTATCCTGAAAAAAATGAACAAATGTTTACCGGATAACCAACGCTAGATGGGAATTTCGACATATTTTGATTATTCAATCCTATAAACCGATATATCATATCCATACTGGCAACTGGGGCATCATACGGAACCATGTGACTAGCGTTGTATATGAGCACATATGTAAGGTTTCGTTCTGATAAAATGTGGCCAGCGAGTGAGTTGTTGACAAACCAAGGTGTAGCTGTGAGATTCTAAACATAACAATTAATAACATGGAAATACATTAGGAAGTAGAAGTTAAAAATAATAACATTGATAACAACCTGAAACCCTTTGGCACCGTTCCATGTTAATTCAGCAATCATGTCCTCAGTACCATTGTGATTACAAATGAGATCTTGATCGCCACTAGCAATCAAATAGAAGAAGTTTAACTAGTGCTGTAGGTCATGGGTTCGCTCATAGGCGTAATAACTAACCTGTACAATAAAACATCAATTTGTTTCAAAATGGAGGGAAGTAACTGTAACGTTATAAAAAAATTTGCAAGATATTTAAATTAATAATCGAAAATATCATCACAACGCCCATAAGGTGCAATATAAGTATTACCTGAACTGCCGGTGTACTGAGATCATTTGTGAATCCTCGACTAACGCCAGTATTGCACTCAACCCATCCGATCTTTTGAGCATCAGCATGAATCGCCCCGACGACATCTGCCCTCTAAAAAACGATTGAACATTAGGGTTAGACAATTTATCAATTACATTTGAACATTTAAACAAATAATTACTCTTAAGTATGCATAGACGGTGGTGAGCTCATAAGGCCATGAGATCCCGCAGGAAGGATATGAGTCAGAATGATCTCGAATATCATATTGATTTATGCATGTTTCATTTGCCCCGACTCTGAAAGTTTCGTCAGATTAAGAGCTTGACAGAAAAAAAGACGTCTGAAGGATTGACTAAAAAAAAAAGTAATCAATACCGAACGCGTGAACTTTCTAGAACGGTCAACAAGACCTGTTCACAAATGTCTAAATGAATGGTGGTGTTCGCCTTTTCGGTATCCATACAAAGCTTTAATTGATCTTGTGCAAGTTTCTATGCGTTACACGGAATAATAGAAAAAAATGTGTGAGTGCCTTGCGAGCAGATAAAATAGGCGACTAATTCAATACCTTGTATTCACCGGTCAAAAGATTGTGATCGACCGAGAAGGTGTAGTATGCATTGTACTAAAAGAATTTTTTATTAGACAGCAACTTGGGCAAGTCAGATATGATAAGGAAATCTTACCTGCGTAATGGGGTCTATCCATCCATTGCCGATAGCTATTCCCTTGAGGTTATACTAATCAACATAATTAGTTAATAAATTTCTTCGTCGAATATGAACAATCAATCATAGTCATATTTACCTTGAGATAGTCCGCAGTCTTTCGGGCGTGATTACGCTGTAAAATAGCGCTAGCTATGTATGGTATATATGTTCCGGCAAAACTTTCGCCAGTAATATACATCTGATTGTAATAGACAAAAAAGTTATGCGAATATTTGGACCTCGTAAACTCATCACATATGAGATCTTACGTCATCCTTGGAATACTCTGGAAAGATTTCAAAAAACTTATCAAGGAACAGAAGGAACTGTCCTGGTACCTAAAAAACAGTCGAAATTTAAGTTTCGTCTAGAGATTCACAGAGAAACAATAGAGGTTTCTTACTTGTGTCACATTGGTCAAATAACTATTGCTGTCAGCGAAACTAAAACCAGTGCCTACAGGCTGGTCAACTGTAATAATGACAAATGGTGAGCGAATTTGAATACATTCCATCAATTAATTCTTTTAATTAAATTATCGATCATGATCTACCGTATAGCACATTAGCATATTCATTCCACGATCCTTCATTCGGTCTTAGTGTCTGGTCACTGTTTATTCTCCAGGGTCCTGATTCGAGAAATACACCATCCATGCTACGATATATATGAATTTAGATGAATAAAAGTTTGATAGTCGATAATAAAACATATAAAAAGACCACCCACCTCGAACTAAAATAAGCATCACATCAAGATGTGAGTGTTTTAAGCTGTTGAATACTATAATACTATGTCCCATTAACTTACCAACCAGGACCTTTGCGTCAAAAGAAATGAATAAAGTAAGGTAATTTGAAAATTTGAAAATAATTTTCTTGGAATTGAACACATGCTCATATTAATTTTACATACCACCGTTGAGCCATATGATCTACATTATTTTTCATTGATAGAAGAAAAAAAAAAGTTGAGTGTCAAGCTACAATGTGTTTAAGGTCAAATTTAACGGGAAGAACTCACAAGTTTGGAGCGATCAGCGATATGACGGTTGTGCATTAACCAAAAGAATATATTAGAATGGGTGCTCTCATCAATTAATATGTGGCTATTAGAATGAAGAATAGTCTGATCAATGTGCAGGAACAAAAAACAACTCTTGGTAAACTTTCAACTAAATCTCGAAAAAATATATATTTAAGAAATTCGATCTTAACCCTGCGTGAGATTTAGTGTTTGAATTGTCGGGAAGTCCAGGTAGAGAGCGTACAAAGTAGTCGGCAGCTATGCGAAAAACGTACAAGTGTCTTGTCAATCGAGTTTTCTAAACATGATAATAATTCTATTCGAAATTGAAAAATAAATTTTGACACCGACCACTGGCCGCATATGCTATCTTTGTAAAGATTGTGGTGGCAAGTCCCAACGACAGGACCAAAGATTTTAGATTAAATTTCATTCTTTAGAATCAGCGAGATCTGACCGTGAAAAATGAAAGGTTTTTAACATTCGAACATGTCATTGGATACAATATAAAAAACGCCGATTTTAGGGTAGAAAGTTAGTAAACCCTCTGCATTAGCTGCATGTGTTTAATTTCCTCACACCAAACACAGGCCCTTTGTGTTTGTTGAACTTGGAATTATGGCAATAAATCAACCAAGCCTAAGGCTTATCAAAATTTGTGGCTTTGTGTGAAGTTGATAGTCGATAAGTGTGACACTTTACAGTTGAAACTAGTACTAATATATCCTAATTCAACATAACATTTAATGATTGGTTTCGTTTCTTTGTATTACACCATTGTTTTCCTCGGTAAGTCCTGTTTCCTCATTTAATTTATGTTCTTGCGCAATATTATCTTTACTTTTTCCTTCAAATATACTTTCAACGTTATACCTTTTCAGTTTCTTATAATCCGATAGAACACTCATACCGCATATGCTCTGTTGTAAAAAATATCGCGTCAATGGTAATTTGGGGCCAATAAACCGTAAAGATAATTAATCAAATACACACCTTAAAAACCTCTACGATGATGACCAAGTCTGGCTCATCAAGATTGACGACATGATAATTGCCAACCACTCGCGCAATCAGTGTGATCAACTCCATTCTTTCAACAGTTTGATTATTCCGAATATTTGGAACAACCGCGTACTTGAGAAAGATGCACAACGAAGGTATGAATATTAACCATTTTCAATGATTATTGAATCCAAAGATCGCGTTACCTTGATCTTTTGTTGCTGATCTCGGTCCTGCGTGTAAAAATGTGGCTTTATCACCTCCTCAGACAGCTTCTCAATATCATTCATGTTGGCGTAGCAAGTTTTCGTGATTGGAATAAGTCGCTTACAGAATCTGTTTTATTTAATAAATGACAAATTACTTGAGACAATTTTAAGAGTCAATATTATTAATAAATACCGTGTTTTCTTCTGCCCTGAATTGTTCAAATCGGTTAAAATATGGTGGACCAGATGAACAGGATTAATTGACGGGTCGGTCTTTACGAATACAACTGTGCGTTTGAGATAATCGAGTGTATCAATAAGTTGTCGAGATCAACAAAGAGGCTAAGGTGGAGAAGTTTTGTACCACAATCTGTTCCGGTTTGAATTGATGCGAATCGATGTGATGTATGCGGTTGTCTCATCTGTGCAAGCTCTTTTGCTATAGAATTTTCGATATCCTCATCTTCAACATCTGAGTTGGAAAGCGCGCTATTGGAATCTTTAGGTTCATATAATTTTTCTGCGTACTGCATTTTAAAAATAACTATAACCAGTGATTAATGAGAACGACAAGAGGTGTAAAACAAATGATATCAACATGAATCATTCTCAATTACCGCATTAAAAAGATCGTAGCATTCTCTCACACAAAGTGCCTCTTTGGATTTTGTGCAGCTGGCAAAAATTCCGGAAATATTTGGTGTCAAGCTTGTAATCGTACTCTGTTTCTTGTAGTATGACCTATCTATAAATGCAGAGTCGAACTATACTATAATCGTCGTAACAAAGGTTTGCAATAACGTCGTATTTATTAGTTCACTGATCCCACCTTTTCGCCTTTTTGATTTCCTTTCCACATCACTCCAAGAATCAGAACGTTTCTGAGAATTCGACATTTCAGAACAATATTCTGACCAACAAAAAAATTGATAATCACTAGTATTTAATAAAGGATCGACACGTTATACAAATTATAGTAAAAAAAGGAACACCGTATTTAAATTTTTTTTTTATAACTTATAAATTATTCTTTTTTTTTATTTTTTGGTCTTTTATAAATATTTTTCAAAAAACATATTTAAACAAAGTTATAGGGTTTAATATTTTGTTTTAATACAACTTTTATTTATATTTTTATCTTGGCAATATTTATCTAATTAAAATTTATTACAATATCAAAAAACTAATTTATCAAATATTAACAATAATGACAATAATAATTATAACAATAAATAACATTATCTATATTTTATTATTTATATTAATAAAAATCATATCTATAAAAAAAAAAAAAAAAAAACTCTTTCCCACAACTTTTCAATCCGTAAAAAATTTCCTTTTTTGGTAATTTCATGAACAGTAGACAGTAAACAGTGAGCGAGAACCTCTTCCTGGGAGAGGAGTCCATCTTAGCTTTTTGCAGGGTGCAAGGGGTCGATTAACTCTCCATAGAGGTGTGGATGCTTTGGGAATAGCAAAAACCTCTTCAATTAAACTCTTTGCTTTACTGAGTGAAACCTATGTAAGCAACCTCCAAACAAAGGAAAACCTTTTTTACCATATTCACACACATTACTACCTATCACATCACAAAAAACACACACAAAACAAAACACAATCTTTTTCTCAAGAGGCAGCATTTTATTTTTTCAGAGTTTTTGTTTTCTGCTGATGATAACTAGTGTCAGGTTAATTGGCATAA